AAATAAAAGAAATGAGAAGAAATATGTCATGGCGAGTGGAAGAACGAGAAGAAATTTCAGAGATATGATGAAAGGACCGAAAAGAAGAATTGATTATTTTTTTTATTTTTAATAATTGCGATAATGAGGTGAAAATAAAAAGTAATTTAGTTTTTATTATTTTTAATTATCATGTAATTTATGTAACAGTCAACTATGAGGGTTGACTTCCACATCAGATAAAACTAATGAAATTGGGAGTTCCTTAACAAAACGTGAATGATTGAACTAATCTAAGTGACTACAAATGAGATGAGATATTTTTACCGACAAACGAAAAATAATTTAACTAACCTAGTGACCAAACTTGCAATTTTCAGCGTTTTAACTAAGAAGATTGCAAACCGAATTAACTACGAACTCATGGAAGAAAGAGAATCTATCAGCATTTGTAGCCAAGAATCTACTAAAGGTGGCTGGTTTTGACATACGTAGGGTCTGCACAATTTTATTTAGCCAATTCGGCTGGGGGAGATGAATTTGTGCCATCTTTTCTCTAGAACATGGGGGGGCTGGCTCCTCTTTCTCTGCCTGCTTAATTAATTGCTTCAATAATCTTTGCTTTTGGCAATATGCATGCAGAGTGGTTGTTGGACAAGAGAGGAATTATGAATTTTATTTGAAACTAGTGGTCCGGTGAGTAGAGTGAATGATGATTTGATTTAGCTTTAGAGTTAGCGTGGACCTGAGCCTAAATTAGCCCACTTGTTTTCATCTTTAATCTTATTTTTTTGCTTACATTAATCTCCGTCCAATCCTGGACACAATAGGTTAAACAAAGTTGATTACTGATGCTGATTTAAGTAATAATTATATTAGGATGCATAATACGGGGACCTTTTTGTTTGTGCTCTGGCCATTGCTATAGGTAATTGTCCCCGTCAGCCTGTGCTGTGCTGGTAGTAGCTAGGATGGTCCGATTGCGCTTAGGCCACTCCCCATATCGTTTTGTATCTGATTTGAACGTTTTGTCCTCTCTTCCTTAAGTTTTATTGCATTGATTACTTGCTATCAACAACATCGAGCAATACTTTCTCTTAATTTCACGGTCTACAATGTAATGATTCACCACCTAACTTCAGTATTATAGTTTAGGACTTTGCTACGGTGACATGCATGTCACCGTGACATGCACTTTTCGGTCGACCTCATATAGGATTAGGTCGACCTAATCTGTTGTTTCAGTGTAAAAACAGTTTCATGGTGTCTACTTTGGAGATTCATATCTTACAATTGGCTAGATGGAAATTGGAGATTAAAGGCTTGTTTTGAAGCTGAAGTGTCCATCTACACATTAAAGTACTTGGGAACTCAATAGAAAGTCCAGAAGACCATTTTTTAACCTGACCAAAAGGCTATGCCAAAACTGGGAAACTGCCTGAAAATGGCTTAAGTCTGGCAACGTGTTTGTCAAGCCTACTTTGGAGCTCAATTTGAGAAGCATGGATGCGAGTCAAGTCCAGGGGCCTCTACCACGTTAAATTACGTATTTTTGTATACAAATGAAAGGCATTGGATGAAAGATTGAATATCTTTAAGGCTTCAAACAAAAGGCTCGAAGTTGCTACGAAGGCTGTTTTTCTGGCAGCTTGCTTGTGCTCAAAGTCTGCCAGAAAAACAGCCTTCGTAGCAACTTCGACCCTTTTGTTTTAAGCCTTACAGATATCCAATCTTTCATCTAATTCTTTGAATTTGTATAAAAACATACCTAATTTAACCTGGTAGAGGCTCCTGGACTCGACTCGCATTCATGCTTCTCGAATTGAGCTCCAAAATAGGCTTCACAAACACGTTTCCAGACTTAGCCATTTCCAGGCAGTTTCCCAGTTTTGGCATAGCCTTTTGATGAGGTTCAAAAATGGTCTTCTGGACTTCCTATCGAGCTCTCAATCACTTCAATATGTTGAGGGACACTCCAGCTTCAAAACAAGCCATTAGTCTTCAATTTTCATCTAGCCAATTGTATGGTATGAATATCCAAAGTATGCACCATGAACTGTCTTTACACTGAAACAACAGATTAGGTCGACCTGATCCTATATGAGGTCGACCAAATCCTAAATGAGGTCGACCAGATTCCTTGTGAGGTCGACCGAATTCTAAATGAGATCGACCTAATCCTAACTGAGGTCGAACGGAAAATGTAAGTCACCGTGACATGCATGTCACCGTAGGCACACCCTATAGTTTATACCCGGTATGTATACCTAAATCATTACGGATAGTACTATGCAAAATAACTTATGTACCTGAATTTAGGTTGATTTGTTTGACAGATTGAGCAACTTTCTTAAAAAAAATAGAGTATGCGCATGAATCGGAAGAAAGGAGTTGTGTGAGAAAGGAGAAGATGGATTGGATCGAAGAGCAGCAGAAAAATATTGTATTTGCTTCCTTCCATAGTTACTTACATTTTATATACCAACTAGGCGGCGATGCCGCTTCTTTTTGCGTTTTTGCGGGGCGGAGATGACCTATGGACATGTATTATGTGGCCTGTTATGGTGTTTTGTTAGTATTATTAGCCTAAAATTAGTTTTTGTTAGCAGTTTTGTTAGTAATATTGATTTGACAATATGATACTGACTATGAAGAGATATATGACGGTCAACTCCAATTTAAACACTTTTGAAAATTTTGGCTAGTAAATGATATTTATCTAACCCAAGTAGACCCATTGAGTATGGGTAGGGTACGAGTGACGTATATATGGGTTTGAAAGTTTGTAAATGAGTTTCGGCAGGGTATGGATATTTAGTTCCATAATCTAAATGTATATGAGTTGGGTATGGATACCCATTTATTCAAGGGTGTTTTAATTACACATACAAAAAGTAGACCTATTTGTAGAACTTCATAAGTTTAGGTACCAAAATGCAATACACAAAAGTTTTAAGTAATAAAATGTAATGTTCAATAAATATTTTGAGGACTTATATGCCAAATAATAAATTTAGGTTATAAATGTAAAGATCTATTAAGTTTAGGTACAAAACTGTAATTTGCGTAGTTGAGGCTTAATTTCTTTTATGGTGATGTATTTAAGATGATAATTATTTACTTTTTTTATTGAACAATGGAAACTATTTATTTGATATGTGTAGATATCTAGCCAATCATTCCATGTATAATTGTTGAAAATTCTAGCCCAGGTGAAAAAGCAAAACTCTAGAGAGAAGCAAAAGGAATACAAACTGGAACTCGCTTAAAATTTCACGCCTTCAAATCTCATAGTGGAAAATGACAAATTTCTAATAAGTAATAACCATATATATTTATTTTTAATTGGACTCGACATTGAGATGAAAAAGTTAGTGGTTCATGGTTCAATTATTAGTTATCTAGACTATTGGTGAGTCGTGTATGGACCCGTTCATACTTGTGATTAGAATACATAAAAATAGTATACTAATTAGGGTTAGACGAAGAATGTAAAGAAATAAATAAAGAAAGGGTTATGGAAGGCGAGTAAAAAATGAAACGAAGAAGAAGTAGATGATGGAAAGGTTTTGACCAATATTTTTAGTTGGTCGTCAATACAACAGTCAACCCTTTCACCGTAGCAATTTATTGACACTTGCTTGTGTAGATGTCACATATTTTGTTACATGTAGTTAGTATGAGTTTGTTTAGTACCCCGTAAATGTACTAAATGAGTTTATAAATTCTCTCTTGCAATATTTTTGAGTCGTCTCTATTTTATCATTTATTTAATGTTTAACGTAATGAGCAAATATAAAATGGCCGAATCTTCTCCGAGAGTTTAGTGATACAACATCTTGTATGGTGCAAACTAAATTTATACTTGTGCGTTATGGTGGATTAAATTCATGGATTGGTTCAAAAGGATTGGCGGATTGGATTCATAGATTTAAGTGAAATCTAAACATTTGACCAATATGTAAATTTAAAAAATTGTAAGTACGAAAATCTCATAAAATTTGGATACCAAAACATAATTGTTCAATGATTATATATTAAAATTAAATTTGGGTTATCAAAATGTAAAATATACATTATAATGACTAAGTTGTGATTTAATTAAGTTTGAGGTATAAAATGTAAATGTCTTAGGAAACAGTAATATGACTTTAGCTTTATATATATATACTAGAAATTGAAGCCCATCACTTGTAAATCAAGAAGAAAATAGAAGATATGTTTTGAAAACCCTAGCTCCGGTTTCTTAGGAGCGGCGATTCCACGAGAGTGTGCGACGTGCTGGTGACCGCCATGACTGCTCCTGCTCTGGGAGCCTCTCTCCCGGACCCCCGCCCACCGGACATCATTGCGGGCTCAAGGAGGCCACCGCAAACCACATCCTCGCCGAATAGCAAAGGCGATCGAGAGTCGCAGCAAGCTAAAAGTGGGTGAAGCCTATGAGCATGAACTCCCTTTTCGATTCCAACCCAAGGACAGAGGAGACAATAGATATGGAAGATGTCCATCATACGGATACCAGGAATGACACGACCAGTCCGACGCGATCTCCACCCCCAGCAGCTTGGGGTCAAGGAAAGAAACTCTTCACCGAGATGTTGAGTGATGATGCCTGGTACGTGGCCGAGTCCGACTCATAGGACGTTGGGGCAGCCATGCGGGAGGATGATTTAGATGATGAGATCCCGGAGGACGACGATCCGCGCTGCCCTACGATCCCCTTCAAGGCAATGTAGAAGATTCGTTATCAACGTAAGTGGAGGTCGGCATTGATAATCAAGGTTCTGGGGAAAACATTCCCTTTTCAAGCTATCTCACAAAGACTAGAATCTATATGGGCTAAGTGCGGCTCTTTGCAAATATCTAGTTTGTCATGGGGATTTTACGTAGTCCGCTTCACCAGCCAGATGGACTACGAACAGGCGGCGGTAGGGGGACCTTGGACGATCGGAGGCCACTATATTACGGTGCGTCCCTGGCGGAAAGGTTTTGATCCACGAACAGCGGAAGTAGCCACCACCATGGTCTGGGCACGCCTCCCGGGTTTACCCATTGAATTCATCAACCGCGAGGCGGACGAACGAATTGCCTCTAAGATCGGGCGACCGATCAAGGTGGACAGAGCCACCCAAAACGGAGAAATGGGCAGGTTTGCCCGAGTTTGTGTCGAGGTTGATCTCATGAAGCCATTACTCTCTCAATACAAGATTGAAGGGAGGACTTACTTCATCGAGTTTGAGGGCCTTTACCGCATTTTCACGGAGTGTGGACAGTATGGCCACACATCCCAAGGCTGCCCGACTCTGTTCAAACCCACCCCGGAGGCACAATCTAATACGGATGCTGCTGAGGGTGCCTCGACCTCTCAACCGACGAAGCCATATGGGGAATGGATGGTAGCGAAGTCTCGATCTCACAAACAGACAAACAAGGGAAGGAGAGATAAGAATGTAGAGAACTCTCAGGCCACTAAGGAGCCGACGACCTCGCCAACTAATGGGGAGACGGGCTCTCGGTTCGATGTTCTAATGACAGAGGAGGAGTCCAATCCGATGGTGAACACATAACTGGGAGTGCACCAGGACACTACTCGGATGGCCCCAAAGAAGGGGAATGACCAGGGTATGGGGCGGATCCTACCAGACCCCCAAGCCTCCCAGTCTACAGTGGTGGCGAATCTAATGGGAGACACCTCCGGCGACCCGCGCAGCTCTACAGACCCCTGGGTTGTCTGACAAGTTAATAACCGTCCCTATCAGTCTGGGGGCATCCTCCGGTACAGGGATGAAGTTGGTTACGACTCCGGTGGACCCCAAGCTTAGCAAAGCCAAGGTTGGCAAGGACCAAACCTCGGCTATCTCTTCACGGCAAGCAGAGGGTGCTGGCACAAAAGCCAAACCTCCTACTCCGAAGGTGAAACTGAAGGGCACCTCGATCCAGGCAGAGGGCAAGGAAAAACGCACGGGCACTCAGAGGGCCCCCTTGGGGACATCCTCTTTAGCGGGCAATGACCTGCAGGGACACTTGATGTCGAAAGACTCGGGGGGCCAGGGGGCTCCGGTAAATGCTCTCTAGCTTCAAGCTAGAGCCTGTCTCAGGGAAGTTCCTTATGGGTTCTCTCTGATTTTTGTGTGTCTTTCGTTTTTTCCTTTTATCATGGTTAACATCTTTGCTTGGAACTGCCAAGGGGCAGGTCACGATAAGTTTATTGCATACTTGCATTCTTTCTTTGTGCCGACTAGGCCGGACATCGTTATTATTGTTGAGCCACGTATTAGTGGTAGGGTGGCTCAACAGGTAATCTCCCGTATGGGTTTTGACGGCCTCCTTATGGTGGACGCTGTTGGTTTTTCAGGAGGCATTTGGGTGCTTTGGAACAACCAGGATCTCAAAGTGACGAGGTTGGACGCCTGGGAACAAATGGTTCATTTCCGCTGTTGGAGGCGTAGCACGGCCAATGAGGAAGTGGTTGTCTCGGCTGTCTATGGTAGCCCTGATGCAGCTAAAAGACAGGAGCTCTGGACAAAATTAATGCCTTGGCTCCCTCAACTCCCGAACCGTGGCTACTTGTTGGGGACTTTAACTCGATACTGGGGCCTAATGACCGGAGGGGAGGAGTGGCTTTTCAGGAAGCGAGAACTCGGCCTTTTCGATCGTGTCTCAATGCGAGTGGTTTGCATGAGATGGGTTTCTCGGGTCCGCGGTTCACCTGGAAGCGAGGAAACCTCTCTCAGAGATTAGACTAGGCATTATGCAACAAACAATGGCTGCATAAATTCCCGGACTCGGTGAATTGTCATTTGGAGAGGGTCGGATCTGATCATAGGCCCCTGTTTGTACGTTCATCCCCCGACTCGCAAGGGAGGATGGTTAGGCCGTTCAGGTTCCAAGCTGCGTGGTTAGCTCACGATGATTTTGCGCGGGTGCTGGAGGAGTCTTGGAGTCGGTCGACTGTTATCCCGGTCTCCCTTGCTCGTCTTACGGAAGCCTTGAAGATTTGGAATAAGCAAGTCTTTGGTAATATTTTCCGCAGGAAGAGAACTCTCACATTGAAGCTTCGTAAACTGGAGGTTGAGAATGAGGGTAACAGCTCGGCCCGGTCTCGTGCTCTGGAGGAGTCCGTTCGTCGAGACTTGGAGAAAACTCTCTGGGAGGAACAGCTGCTTTGGTTGCAAAAGTCTCGGGCATGCTGGATCAATGAAGGTGATCGTAATATAAGGTTCTTCCACCTATCTACTCTCAAGAGAAGGCGGTTTAACAAGATTGTGGCTCTGAAGAACGAGGATGGTGTCTGGGTAACGGACGAATTCACTCTTCAAAGCCTGGCAAGGGGTTTCTATGTCGAGCTTTACCAAGTTGAGGCAGGTGCTGCCGCGTCCCTCCCGGCGCTCTTTGAGAAGCTGGATGCTGTGGCGGGTAGGGATCTGGATCGGGGACTCACCAGTATTGAAGTGCGGCAGGCTGTAATGGATATGGGTAGCCTCAAAGCACCTGGGAAGGATGGATATCAACCTGTGTTATTTCAGAGATGTTGGAGCACTATTGGAGAGGCTTTCTCCCAATTTGTTGAGGGGTGTTTCCTTGATCCGGTGCAGATTCGGTTAATTAATGAGACACTCCTAGTTTTAATCCCGAAGAGGGAGAGCCCGGAGTCCATCAAGCAGTTCAGACCTATCGGATTGTGTAATGTGGTCTACAAGGTGCTTGCTAAGTGTCTAGTGAACCGGATCAAGCCTTACATGCGACGACTGGTCCACCCCATGCAGACTAGCTTTGTTCCGGGGAGGCATATTACGGACAACATTATTATTGTTCAGGAGTCCCTTTAATTCTAAGTCTGGAAGCAGCAATCTTGCAGACTTCTGTGTTTATGAAATAGAGAAGGAAAACGGGAAGAAGAAGAATTCTCTCATCATTAAAAGAGTTATGGCAGTCATCTATTTATAGTTGTGAATACTGGAAGTTACCTTCCGAAGAGTCACATCCCTTCACAGAAAAGGTAGTTACCTTTATGGAAGGTCATATCCTTTCACAGAAAAAAGGGAGTTACCTTTCTGGAAGGACACTTCTTTTCACAATATTCAAACGTTAATTAATAATATAAATTAATTAATTAATTAATTAAATTTCCAAAAGACTCCATCTTTATAATTTACTTCCCCCATCAATGTCGTATTACAACTCTATTGACTAACTCTAACAATCCCCCACTTAGTCAACAAGAGTTGAGAATACCTGCCTCGAACAAGTAGCGCATACATAAATGTATCTTTTCGATTTGAACCTTTACCTAGTGTAAGCAACTCAAAGTTGATAACGAATCAGTGACGGGCTTAAGCCTAGGAGTCACGATCCAAAGCTATAACCGGAGATGCCACACACGTACTTGTCTCTTCTCTAAACCACAACAACTAACTAGGGTAGCACTATTATGGCCATGTGCTAATCCTGTTTCATGAGCATACACAAAAGTTGACCTCTACTTTTGTTAGAGCGGCACCACTCTAAATGCTCACATAGGTAACATTCCAAATGAATTGATTAAGAGTTCTATAACTCACCCTTCTTTGGACTAATTTACTTGTACAATAAATTAGTGCCTCTGTTAGAGTAACTTGTTATTACTACATTGAACCTTTTAATTAGTGAATACCTAAAGAAAAGGTTGGGTTCTCATTACTTCTAACTACACAAAAAGGTCTTAATCCCATCCCTTGGGATGTCTCATAGATCATGCCTCTTGGCTATCCCTTGGCAAGAGGATCTGCCAAATTATTGTTTGATTTTACATACACAATAGAAATGATTACATAATAATCAAATATCTAACGTAACCATGTCTTAGACTATTATGTCTAGACTTACCATTGTAAATCTTGCTATAAGCTTTAGACAAAGTGGCCTTACTATCACAATAGACAGAAATGGCTAACATTGGTTGTGGCCACAACTCTTTATCTATCAACATGTTTCTTAGCCATCTGCCTCTTTTCCAGTCGCCGAAAGGGCTAGAAATTCATCTTCCATGGTGGAGTGTAATACACATTTGTTTCTTTGAAGCCCAAGAAACAACTCCACCACCTAGTGTAAAAATCTACCTGTTGTAGATTTATTTCACTAGCACTTTTTATTCAACTAGCATCAAAAACATATCCCCCACAATTCTTCCACTTGCCGAACTATCATGGAATAATTCCATTTTATTTTCCATGGTTTACTTACTGAACTTTCAACCACTACATTGATCTAATTGTTTACCAATGATATGAACTAATTAGATTAGTATACCACAAACAATTCAGATATTATTAGAAATATCATCTAATTACTTACCAATGGAATTGGTCAAGGTAACTTGAGATGCCACAAGTAATTCATTTGCATTTCCAGATTGTATTGGAAATACCATCTAATTACTTACCAATGACATTTCACAAAGGTAACTTGACATACCAAAAGCAATTCAAATGAATATTCTAATTCATTCTTCTAATTACTTTCCAATGGTATAAATTCACACATATACCATAAGTAATTCAGAATTTAAGTTCAATAAGATCATCTCAATTGAGCTCTCATGTCAAATTGTTTTCCAATGGTATAGTGTACATATACCATATACAATTCTAGCGATGATTATTTTGATGATCACCATTCTTTGGCAAGTTTATTCAATCTTTATAAGTATCCATCTTAGTTTTCTTTTCCAAGACATAAACCATATACATGATAACAAATTATCATGTCGGGAACATATTTCACCATTTTCCAATTTACTTCAAGATCACAACTCAAACAATTTTGTTACATAAACCAAATTGTTTCATCTTGCAAGCATCAAAATTGAAACACATACAATTTTTGGTGACAAAATTTGTTTCAAGAATTCAATGTGAATTCTTCCAAATTTAAACACAATTGAATTTCTCCAAACTCTTCTCGTAATGTGAATTATGAGTTTGTTCCACCTCATCTCAAATACTACCGAAGTATTTGATTTCATTAACCAAATGGAATTGGTTAACCATTTTTTTCTTTGCAATCACATATGTTACACCAAGAACATGAAAATTACAAAACCTCTGTAGGCAGAATACAAACTCACACCAAGTACTATTCTAAAAATCATTTTATTATGTACAACATCCGCTACTTTCATTGCACCATTAAGCCATGCATATGTGCAATGAAACTGATTACCAAATCATATTAATTATGGGGTATCATTTTTGTCACTACTGGAAACTACATGATGCATGCGTAGAAGATTACCACTGATTAATTAATCATGGGAAATAACAATGCTCTGGGCAGTTACAATTAACAGAACAATTGCCATCACATACGTTAAACTTTCTTTCTCTCGAATGACATCAAAACACAACAACATATATAGACAATATATATGGCATGTATATATGCATGCATGAATGGGATTCACGAACATATTCATTCGGCACAAATATGTATAAAGTTAGAAACAGGAAAACAAAATACCTTTCTGGTGCATACATATATCTGTGACCGACTTCTTTCGTTCTTTTACTGCAAGTTCCTTTCAATATCATTAACGACCGAATGCCACTTCTCTTTTCGCTTTTCTTGTTGGGATCAGAAGCATACGCATTCAACGTATTCTCCACTCCATAATCCATTTTTTAAAATAATACTCTAAGATTGTCAGGAAACTGAAGGAAATAATCGGATTGAAGGCGTGATTAATCACTCTCCTTAGAGTGTTATTTGCCCCCACTACAAATTGCTAGTAGGCTCGAGCAAACCACCCCCAGTAGTCCCTTCAATTCTAAGTCTGGAAGCAGCAATCTTGCAGACTTCTGTGTTTATGAAATAGAGAAGGAAAACGGGAAGAAGAAGAATTCTCTCTGTCATGAACCAGTTGATCCCAATAACTCGAGTTGTTGGGAGAGGTTCAATAGTGGATCATATACCACAACACTAACACGCCCCCTCAAACAAAAGCCACTCACAAGGGCTTGAAGTTTGCACAGGTCTGAAGACAAGAATACCATGTGCTTAACAAATGGGAGTCACCGGGAATCGAACACAAGACCTCTCGGTCACAGAAGGCTCTGATACCATGTCATGAACCAGTTGATCCCAATAACTCGAGTTGTTGGGAGAGGTTCAATAGTGGATCATATACCACAACACTAACACTCTCATCATTAAAAGAGTTATGGCAGTCATCTATTTATAGTTGTGAATACTGGAAGTTACCTTCCGAAGAGTCACATCCCTTCACAGAAAAGGTAGTTACCTTTATGGAAGGACATATCCTTTCACAGAAAAAAGGGAGTTACCTTTCTGGAAGAACACTTCTTTTCACAATATTCAAACGTTAATTAATTAATATAAAATTAATTAATTAATTAATTTTCCAAAAGACTCCATCTTTATAATTTACTTCCCCCATCAATGTCGTATTACAACTCTATTGACTAACTCTAACAGTTAATGGGGAATCTACATATTTTTTATGATTGGGAGAGGTTTGAAACAGGTTGATCCCTTGTCCCACTTTTTCTTTATTCCTGCCATGGATATATTGTCACTTATGATACAGGAAGCGAGTGTGGCAGGTTTTGTTAATGGATTCTGTATGAATGAGATGAATAGAAAGGGAGAAGACACGCAATTGCTTTACGTAGACGATGCCATTATTTTTTGTGAGGCGTCAAAGGTAGAGATTACAAATTTCTTGGGCAGATTGGAGTGCATCTAGAGCGTCACAGGATTGAGAGTAAATCTTGAAAAAGAAAGTTGTTCCTGGTTGGTGAAGTTGATAACATAGAGAGACTCGTTGAAGTCTTCGATTGTAATTGGAAAATTCTCCCAACAACGTACATTGGTTTACCACACATGAACGATCCTTCGTCAGCGTGGATTTGGAACCCTGTAATTGCTAGACTCCAGGCAAAGCTCGAAAGCTGGATGGGGGGTCTGCTTTCAGTCGGTGGGAGGATCATATTAAGCAATGCTTGTCTGGCGAGTCAACCTTTGTTTAGAGGCTCGCTCCCCATTGTACCCAAGAGATTAATTCAAAAGATCAAAGGTGTGCAGAGGGACTTCATTTGGGCAGGTTTTAGCGAACAGAGGAAGCTACATTTGGTAGCGTAGGAAAGGTGCAAAGCTCCAAAAATATGGGGAGGCTTGGGAATTCAAGATTTAGAATTTCATAATAGGGCACTAATCTGCAAATGGTTATGGAGGTTCATGACCGATGGAGAAGAACACCTGGTACAAGCAAATTCTAAGCTAGAGCGTCATGTTGGATCAGTGGGGATCTTTCTGGTGCATTTTGTTGTAGTTCGTGGAAGCAAATACAGAAAATAAGTCCTGAATTTTGAAAGCTAACACGGGTGAAACTCATAATAGGAGATGATACTCTTTTTTGGCATGATTATTGGATTAATGAAAGGACTCTTGCTGAAATCTTTCCTAGTGGCAGCTGCTGCTATTTTCCCACTTGTAAATGTCTCGCAACTTGCTCAAGTCGATAATGGGAGGTTAGTATGGGTAATACCCCTTAATTTCACTCTAAGGGGTGGGGCTGAGTTGAGAGGGAGAGGGAGAGTTTGATGTCCTTCCTTGGTACCCTTGATTTGTCTCTGTTCTTTGCAGGTATAGATTCAGTGATATAGCAAGCATGTTCATCAACTTCCTTTACCGTGCGATCCATGTACCCTAGTTTGGCAAAGAAGAAATTCTTATAGCTAGAGGCTTTCCCACATAAGACGATATGGTAGGGGCAAGTTCCCTCAAAGGTTTGCACCTTCATGTACCAAATCCTTTTTACATGCTCTCTGCT